ATGCGCTGTAAAATCCACCAGTTCGTCGGGAGGAGCTGCCTCCACGAGAACAGGGACAGTTATATCCTTTGTGACATTCCGTGAAACACCGTCGATTGAAAAGCTGCCAGCAATTGCTAGTAGGATAACCGTAGCTGAGAATATGGCTACGGAACGGCTTATTCCTTTCTTGGATAGGCCTTGGTGTGAAATAAAGGCAAGTCGAGTTGAGGCCAGGGGAAACGGAGTTCCTTCGTCGTAGATGTACTTCAAATTTTCACTTGACAAGAAAAGTCGGACAAGCCAGGACAGGAGACCTTGAAGGACAAAATCGAAGGCGACGACATAAATGGCAGTTGCCACATTCGAACTCACGGGCAGGGACACATGCATGACTTCAGGAACAGTTGACGACTTGGGGAGACTGCGGCAGGTGCATTCTTCGCGAAGAATATTCCGAAGCTTGGCGCTGGACACCAACCGTGCTACTGTACTTCACTGCAGTCAAGCAGTATGATTTGGTTGTAATGGGACACTGGCAGTTGTATTTAAATGGCCCTTGCGTAAATGAGATTGAACGGCGGACCCCGAGTTTGGCAGCAAGTATTCTGGTCTCGATTAGCGCCAACAGACAAGGGCCAGAACACGAGTAGAGCGAAAGGTAACTAATACGGTATTTGTTTGATCAGAAACAACGAAGGTTATCAGACAAGGAGAGTCCAACACAGTTCCACGTACGGCCGTACGGCCACTGCCGGGGTGCATTATTGTAGAGGGCACGGTATCGGATGGGCGCGGATAGACATAATCATTCAATTCAAAGGCAGGGACTGCTGCAGTGACAAGCGAAGCAGAGGCAGGCGGGGTTGGAACCAGTGGTTGTGCTTGTATCCACAGCAGAGAAATGAGGGAGAAACCTCGAGCTCACCCTCAGGACTCCGGGTACTTTTTGAACTGTAAATAGTTCTAAAACAAGAAGTGCAGACGCTCAAGCATACCTCCCCTACACTCTCCCCTACACTGTTCGGTAGGGGTTTTGACGGCACATATTGCATCCTATTCCGAGCGAGCTGCAGTGACTGATGGCAGTCTGACTGATGGCAGTCTGACTGATGGCAGTCTAGCCTGGGGGGTGAAATACTGTACAGCAAAAAGGATATGATGTATTGTTGCCTTCCTGTTGCTGGGGGGAACTGGGGACTGGATGAGAGTCTTAAGATTTCTACTACCCTTCGAAGGGTATCCAAGGACACCCGACTGGTCGTGTAGGAAGCACTTGGGAGATGCCAAACTGCGCCAGATGGCACGGCAATGTCCTTAAGGTGCAGTAGAGTTTTGAGCAGCTGTGGGTGGCCAAGGTGAAGTTTGTGAAGCGATTCTATTTAGGTTTCGTGTTGAGATCAAAATGACATATGATCTAGAAAAGGGGTCAATTATGAATAAAGCCAACTATTATTAAGAGCAAGGCACGGCAATGTCCTTAAGGTGCAGTAGAGTTTTGAGCAGCTGTGGGTGGCCAAGGTGAAGTTTGTGAAGCGATTTTTCTATTTAGGTTTCGTGTGGAGATCAAAATGACATATGATCTAGAAAAGGGGTCAATTATGAATAAAGCCAACTATTATTAAGGGGATTATTATTAAGGAGACCCCCCTGTATGTATGCACTTAGCGGGAGGCGGTTGACACTACCCACGTGACTCGTGTCTGTTCAACCATCGCATGAGCTGACGTTGTTGGACTCGACACGTTTTTAGCGACTTTCTACACTGCACCGTACAACACTGTGTCTTTACATACGTATTTCGGCCTGTTCATGATTCATGATAAAGCTTTACAAGGGACTACACTAACGGGACGGTGGCACTCGAGAATATGGCGTGTTGCGTAGGCTTACCGTATCGTTGTTGTCAAAGTCCCGTCGAGTTGGCACCGCCTCATATCGTATGAACAGGGGGGTGTAAGTTAGGGGCAGTGATACATAGAAGGACAAGGGAAGATGCTGGCATCTTGTTGGCACCAACAAGATCTGGGGACACCGCAGTACGGGTACAGTTATCTCTCGATGAGCGCAACCAGCACAGGATCCGCTCAAGCAGAAAGGCCCTACCCTTCCCTAAACCTAAATTAGTTGCAAAGCCCGCCTCGCCCTGCACCCCCTGGGTCGCCCTGCTTATGCACTGTACCTTCTCGTGGGCCCACGTGGTGCATTTGTTGCTCTTTACTGTTGCGTGCACCGTCTCTCACCTCCTGCTAAAGTTATTTCGAAACTGCAGCTCCGTTCCACATCGTCCTCTCGCATCGTCCTCTCGTTTCGTAAAAATACAATCCCCTGCCCTGTGTCACCGCTTTCCAACTCTGCACGTGTTATTCATAGACCCGTTCGGCAAACCGATTGACCTCCGTTTTTGCCACCCTATACCGTACACATATGTACCGTACAACCCGTAAATGCATCATTGTACAAGCGTGCTGTACATACGCAGCATGACTGTATGCGAAATCCACTGCATCACGTGCATGCAACAGTAGGTAGAGGCTAGCCAGTAATTGTTCATGTGACTGCATGCACAGTACTCGCTTGTTAAAGGTTCATCAGTTCTTGGCTGTGCTCTATTCATTGCTGCTTTGAGACGATGCGTAAGCGAGTCAAAGTCTTGCCTTAACAACACGACCGGGCAGGGTATCGAAAATACGGCAAGTCTGCATCCATTTTCTCTCTTCATCGACACTTAGCACGTTTACTCAGCTACAGACTGCCGCTTTTTTCTGGCGCACTGTGCAAACTCAAACTGTGTCTTCGAATCCTCACCTGCAGACGTTCCGAGGATTGTTTCCACAATCCTTTTACACCATTCACATGCGCATCGCAGTCCCCTCCAGCCTGGTCAGTGGTGTGTACACATGTCTTGAGTTGCTGTTAGCCCTGCTCACTACTCAGCTCATTACCTTTGCCATTCGAGCATGGAACGTCAAGCGCGTTTACGCTGACAACGCCAAGCTGCATCTCACTTGCTCTAGGCTGGGTACGTTTTTCGGATATGGGCTGTCATCCAAGAAGGTTTCCATTGCTGCCGCTTTGGTCTTTACGTCTGTCGTTGGACTGGCCACAGTAGGGGGCTTCTCCATTGTGGGACGCACAGGAAAGCATTACGAGCCGTTTGTCGTCAGAAACCTCGTCACAAAAGCTGCTCCTGACGAATATGTCGACTATTCGGAAAATCACATTTCGTATGGCGATATACGCTTCTCCGGGACAATATTCCTTTTGTTTCAGCTTGTCGGATGTCGAAGATCTTCATCCCCCGGGCCACCAGTCGTATATGAGTATTTCAACGATTTGCATGATATCACAACACGACTCTTCCAACCAGAACAAGCAGATCTGAATCAAACTTGCATCACGGCGAAATCCGGTTATCGGCAACGCATTGCCTTGCAGGAAAGTGCAGTTGCTGTCCGAGACCGCGACGTAATTGCAAATTGCTCGTGGGACCGCTTTCCACCTAGCATGATACCCCTAGGCGAATATGCCAAAGTCCCAGTTCGTCAGCAAGATGACTGCCCATACCCAGTACAAGAAGCATGGTGCCTGAGAACGGAGGGACTGTTCTGTGCCGGTCAGGTAACCTCCGGCTCTACACCTGCTGTAGTAATTACTACCAGTGAGCGGACCGAGGGCGACGGCCAGCTACGTACCGACATACTTCTTGTGGACGCGCCCCCTGCTGTCGAAAACTTGAAATCTGTCACAGCATTACTTGGCTTTCGAGCCGATATTACTGCAGCAACACTTTGGGGAATGACGCTGCTGACAGTAAAGACCGATGTGTCTGTGGACAGGTTCATCAGTGATCGCAAGGAAACAGAGGTCAATGAAGTCCTTCTTGCTGCAACTCTCGGTCCTGCTCTTCTTATCTTGGCAGTGACTGGAATAGTCGCTTTTGTCGGATGGATAAAATATATCGCTCTGCCAAATCGAGGCGATTGCAACCACTTCAATTCCCTTTGGGATTTGGTTTCTTTAGGCCTCGACGCATCCGATGTTGATGGTGAGCGTGGTCGAACTATTCGACAAAGACTGACTATTGGAGTGCACGAAAATGAACCTCAACTTAGCATAAGAGAGGAAGCTGCCAGGACAGGTGAGGCCTGGATTCCGCAGGAAGGTGGCCTCCAAGGCACCCCTTGAGCGCATTGCATCCGTAATATTCAAAGGCCCAGTGGAGCGGGTGAAACCGCTACCACTCCGAGCTTATCCACTGGAGAGGTAAGCGAAATACCGCGGAAGGAATGGACTCCATTGAAGTGGGGTGGGGGGCATCTTCCACCTTGTTGAGGAGAATACGAAATGAGCTACTATATCCCTCCGCTTACCCCAGAATCATTACTTTTGGTCGCGGATCTACTGCAAATTGTTGGCCCTTCCCTTCAGCGGACACGTGCGAATAAGGTTGTGCTGTTGCCTTGATATGAACGCCTAATCGCAAGTCTGCTTTAGATCTTCAACCAGCTTGCATGGATTTTTGCTAGTCTTGATTTTGCGAGACATCTCTTCCTTTACTGTGTGTTATGTCTTCTGAAGCGGGCCTCTTAAACCAGGGGGGAACTGGCTAGCGCATCCGTTCTCATCTCATGATTGAGATGTGGGATGCTGAAGGATTCGTGGCCGCTTGTGGTAAAAGGGAGTGCCCCCTGGCCAGGAGACAGGTGGAGAGGGATGTGCACAGTATATGTAGTAGCGATATCCAACAAAATCTTTCATTTCGTCTTGTGTAGCTCTCTCTCTCTCTCTCTCTCTCTCTCTCAATGAAGGCGCTCATCTCGCCCCAGCGCAAGTTGTCCCACCTCCCATCCCATCGCCCACGCTCCCGCGCGCTTGGGTGACTGTAGCTGCTACGAAACCCCGTCCCCGTCCCCGTCCCACCTCCGCCCTCACCTCTGCCCATCCCGAGCACGCGCGCGCCACAGCGTCCATCAAGCTCGCTGACATCCGAACAAATTCCACTCCGTCCCCGTTCGTCGCGCCTGGCCCCCTCCATTTGCCACGTGTCCCAGCTGGATCTCCCGTCCTCACCCTCGCTGGCGCCCGTGCCGCACTTGCTGCCCCTTCGTCGGTCTCGAGTGCTACACTCGATGAGGCCCCCTGCCTTGTCCGCACTGTGGGCCACCCCATTCGCCCTGACCCTCGTAATGGAGAGCTGGTAGTGTGGAAATTATCAGCTGACGGTGACTGTTACTGTCCGCCAAGTGCATCCGAATCGTTGAAAAAGGTGCATTAAATATGGACAGAATTTAATTGACCTCATCTGTCAACCTACAGTGCATCTCTCAAACAACTCTACTGATAATGCAATAACTCGTAATTATCAGCAAAGGGATCGCAAGTAAGAGAGTAAAACGGGAGGATGAGACGCGCGGGAGTAGTAGTATAAATAGTCAGAAGCCCGGGCAGAATAGCTGCATCGGGTAAGCAAAAAAGGACGAAACCAGCACAGTAAATTGACGCGAACATTCTCGCCCGGTCTTTCCGGTTAACACTTACTGTTTTTATTATTTCCGATGAGAGTTATCCTAAAGAGGAAGGCGGCTTTACCTCTTTTTTGATAAAACGTACTGCGTTAATATCAAAAAAGAGATAAGAAGACCACTCTCGAAAAGACCAAAAAATCTTGAACTTGAAAGACTGAGGTTGTTGTTGTTCTTCTCGAAGAAACTAGTTGAACGTAAAGTCTAGACTGTCGCAAAAGTAGAAAAAAACAGTAAGTGTTAACCGGAAGGACCGGGCGAGAATGTTCGCGTCAATTTACTGTGCTGGTTTCGTCCTTTTTTGCTTACCCGATGCAGCTATTCTGCCCGGGCTTCTGACTATTTATACTACTACTCCCGCGCGTCTCATCCTCCCGTTTTACTCTCTTACTTGCGATCCCTTTGTTGATAATTACGAGTTATTGCATTATCAGTAGAGTTGTTTGAGAGATGCACTGTAGGTTGACAGATGAGGTCAATTAAATTCTGTCCATATTTAATGCACCTTTTTCAACGATTCGGATGCACTTGGCGGACAGTAACAGTCACCGTCAGCTGATAATTTCCACACTCCCTCTACTTGTGACGTGACATATCCTCAGTGTGGCTTCTGTCAATCCATTGATCCACGGGATGATTGATTTTTGCATATTTCAACGTTTTGACGAGGGCATCGTTACCATTGGCCTTTGTCAAGCAGTCAGCTAGATTGTGTTCAGATCGAATGAATCCGATCTGTTCCATCTCATTTTGTTGGTACGCCTTTTTGACTACCTCGAGGTCAATCATTAGTCTTTTTTCAACCGTTGTAGATGCCTTTGTGATAACATCAAATAGTGAGAGACTATCCGTAAACATTAGGATCGGTATTTTTATGTTCATCATCTTCTGTATGTCATGTCTGAGCATGAAGGCCATATCAAAGGAATCAGCAAAGGCCATAGTTTCGCTGCCTAAAACTTATCTTGACACTCGTTTAGCCTTATGAGACGACCAATAGAGTGGTTGGCAAAGGTTGCTGCTATCACATAGAAATATGATGTATCCAAGCTGCGAAGAGCCGTCAGAGTTGTTTGCATACGAAGCATCTGAATAAACTCTTATGTGTAACTTGTTATCGTCAAGTTTGGGATACCTCAGTGGTAGGTATGGCTCTTTCTTGAGTCGTCTAATGGTGCGGTTAATGTATCGGATTTGAATTTTTGGATCCGTAGCATACTGTGATTCGGTAACCTGGGCGGCTTGAGCAATAGAGAAACTAATGTCTGGTCTAGTGTAGGTAATCCAGGCTAATTTGGCTCTTAATGATCGATAAGACTTGTACGTGGCTGTGTTCGGCAGCCTCTCTATCTTTCGGATGTACGACGTTTAGTGGATCATGTATTCAGAATCCTTTTTCTCAACTTGTACTCCGACAAAACTAAACTTATCGTAAGCTCTTCCCTTACACTTGAACTTCTCTTCTGTCTTGTGAGCGAGATCTGAATACTCCTTGGTACCTGCTTGGAGGGCATCGTCCACGTAGGTAATGCACATGCCATCAAGCTTGTCCCGTATGCATTTAAAGAAAAATGCTCCATCACCGGTTGTTCCGGTCATGTTCAAGTCCTCTTTTATATGATTGCTGATGGTACGGACCCAGTAATCACCACTGTCGGCAAGACCGTACAAAGGTTTTAACAACTTCAGCAACTTGTCCTGGTTCAGTTCTAATTCTCCAGTTGGTTTGATGTATACATCCCTCATAAGTTTTTCTGCGCTTTGAAGGTATGCTTGAGTCACATCTGTTGAAAATAGTCGGAATCCGCATATTGCGGCCAATCCGATCAAAATTCGTGTGGAGTGTTGCCTTGGTGTGGCAGTATCATGTACAAGAGACGTTTTTAGCTTATCCCTGTATCCTTGAACTACAAAACGGGCTTTCCATACTTCGTCTTTAGTACCTTCATCTTTTATTGCTAGTACAAATCTACCACCGAGAATATTTGCGTTCTTAGGTACTTCCGACTTGCAGACAAGCTTCCAAGTTCCTTTTTCAATCAAACCTCTCAGCTCCTTCTTCTTTGCGGCTCTAAATCTTTCATCGGTCGATGTAGGGTCACCAGGTTTGATCACTTCAGTGAGTTCTACATCAAAATTAGAGGGCTTTGGTCTGTTTACTGATTTAAACGGTTTCAACATTGTAGAAAGGAACTCGTCCCGTGAGAGCATGTCTGTTGGTTCAGAGTCTTCTCGAACATAAGGCTTAACTTGTTGCATGTTCATGGTCTTATGCCATTGCCCGTCGTTGCTCTTAACATCGACTATTTTGTCTCTTATACCTGTGATGATAGCAGGTCCAATCCATTCTTTACTTCTTTCTTGATGCACAAGTACTTCTTGACCTAATTCAAATACGAAATCGGTTGCGGTTGGGATTCTTCTAGTAAGGGCAGCAAGAATGCGTCTCTCTGCCACTACAGCATTCATTTCCATTTGTGCCTTTGAAAGTGCAAGCATCCTTTCTTTCTGAGCGGGTATTTCTGAGCTAATGATTGGGAATCTTGGTATTATCCCGAATACAACTAGTGAGGGAACCAGTCCGTTATCTCCGTTGGTATCGTTCATGGCTTTGATTGACAGTTTCAATGCAATGTTGCGGTCAATTTGAGGAAAGTCGAATATTATCCTTCGATAAATTCTTCGGAGGGGTGCGTGTAGTCTTTCTCCAATGCCTAATGAGTTGTGAGCTTCGACTCCTGAAATTCGAAGTTCTATCCCAACGCTTTCGGCCATTTCCTTCCACCTAGGCGAAGTGAAAACGGATCCCGCATCAGTTCTGACGCGGTTAGGGAATCCTGTATAGAGAGTGCACCACGCTTCAAGGAAAGCAAGCCATATTCCGTTGACTGATTGTCCGTAATTCTGACCCTGAGAGTCTAAAAATATGGCCGAGTTGAAACGAGTTGCAGTGTCGACAATATGCAGAATTGCTTTTCCCTCGATGAACATCAGATCCATTGATATTTCTTCACCAAACTTAACGTCTTGCAGTGTGGGTAACGTGGTCTTGAAGCTAATTGGTTGTGATCCAAGCCTTTGACAGGTATTGCATGACTTAGAGATCTCTTTCAAGACTTTTGTGGTGGCCTCGGTGGCCTCGTGCGGCCGAGCTTTTCTGATGAGATTCAGAAGTTTCGTATCCGTTGGGTGTCGAAAACCTCTATGAAGTTTGACCAGTTCACTTCTTGAGAATAGTACTGCATCTTCCCGTTTCCATTCCAGGTAGACATGTCCAAACTTCCTTACGACTGGGACAGAAATGTTTCCCGGAGAACTGATTAGTACATTTCTTGTCGTATCCAGGTATAGTTGAAGTTTATCGAGCAAATCCAATCCCAAAAGAAAAGGTACATTCGCTCTAACTACGTCAACCTCAATTGGCACAAATCCGTTCTTGAGAAACGGTAATCGAATTGAGATTGATCCGATTGACTTCTGCACATCAACACCAAATCTGTACTGGTTGAAGTTCGCTTTTAGTTTGAACTTACTCCCAACAAATCTGCAGTATGCTTTGGCTTGCAGTTGTCCGATTACAGTGCGTTGTGCTCCAGTGTCGATGCAAGCTCCCTGCCAGTCTTTCCTGCGTTCATCCAAATTGATTCTCATCTGTGAAAGACC